CCTAAAAAAATTTTTATTTTATAATGTTATACTTTTACAACAATCGATCATGATAGCTTCTCAAGATCTAACGCTTCCATGTGGATGAAATTATTCATATTAAACGCTCTTGTGTATATATATATATATTTTATTTTATTTTTTGCCAAATCTTGTACATGGTTAAATGTTGGACTTGTACAGAACTGAAGCTTTGATTTATTATTGTTTCATGTGTAGCTAAAAGCCTGATTAATAAATGTTTCTGTTCAAATGAAATTACAAATTTCAAGAACAAATTAATGATGGTAATCTCAAAAATGGATACAAAAGAATAAATTTCTTTGCCTATTCATTTTTACCCGAACAAGCAATCTTCTCTCCACTGCACAACTGAACATATTAACATTTCTTTGAACATTCAAGTTTATTTCTTGGTTTGAATGTTGAGATGAATCAGCAAAAGAGAGGTACCTTCAGCATTATGATTCCAGTCCAGGTCTAATGGACTCGAGAACCTGAACAGCCTCAGCCATACTTGGTCTTCTTGAAGGAACATCTGACGTGCAAATCAAACCCAACTTCATGACCTGAATCAATTCATTCTCTGCAAAACCGCGCAAGCTTCGATCAAAACAATCTGAAGCTGAACCCCTCTCCAACAATCCCCTAACATATTCACACAAAATCACCACCTCATTTGCTGTTGGACTTTCAACTGGTTTCCTTCCACTTACCAACTCCAAAAGAATTACTCCAAAGCTATAAACATCGCATTTCTCACTAAGTCTCAAACTTTGAGCCAACTCTGGTGCAACATAACCAACTGCATTGTGGAATTTAGTCAAACCATGGTTATCTAAAATGGGAAGCAACTTCCCCAAGCCATAATCAGACAACTTGGCCTCATAGTTTTCATTCAAGAGTATGTTGGTGGACTTGATGTTGAGATGAAGAACTGGGGGTCTACAATCATGGTGAAGATAAGAGAGTGCTCTTGCTGTTCCAAGAGCAATCCCAAACCTCCTAGACCAGTACAGTCCACTGTTGCCAACACCAGTGCTGGTGCCTGGATAATTTAGCCCGTGAAGATTTTCATACAGATTCCCATTTGGAATGAACTCAGAGAGTATCAACTGCATTGTTGAGGACCAGTAGTAACCTTGTAGAGAAACCAGGTTGGGATGTTGAAGGTTGCCTAGCTGTCCAATTTCTTGCTCAAATTCATCTTGGTTTCGGATCCTTCCAAGAGTCTCGAGCTTCTTCACAGCAATTGAGATCCCACCTTCAAAGTTAGATCTGTAGACGGTTCCAATTGACCCAGCACCTATTAGACAATCCTTGTCTAGCAAAGCTTTGGTCCCAGCTTCCCAATCTTCATACTTTGAAGGCAAGCTTTTGCTGAAGAGTACCAGCTTTCCAATTATAACACTTGAATCTGTTGAACCCAGAGGTGTGCTCTCAACAACCAATGTTGCTTCATCCTTCTTGCTTCTGCGTGCCCTGATGTTCATGATGGTTACCACACAAACACCTGTAAGGATCACAGCAGCAGCAACAATGGCGACAATGGCAGAAACACTAAGGACCTTGGTTTTACCAGAAGTGGAAGTTGTCCCACCCCCAATTGCTGAACAGGGTTTGTCCAGAGGAGAACCACAAAGCCAGGGATTGTTAATAAATGCCGATGCACCAAAAGACTGGAGGATTTGAATATTAGGGATGACACCAGAGAGGTTGTTGTAAGAAAGATTAAAATGTGTCAACATTTTCAAGTTCCCTAGTGAAGAAGGGATTTGCCCCGACAGTAAATTTTGGGACAGGTCAAGAAACTGGACTTTTGACAAGTTTCCTAAATTTGGTGGAATGCTTCCAGTCAGCCTATTATGATGCAAGTCAAGGATTTCCAGGTTTGACATGTTGTAAAGGGTATCAGGAATTTCTCCCTCCAAAGAATTTCCAGAAACATCCCTGCAGCAACAGATGAGAGGTTTCTCAAATTTAATTCAAAGTAATGTTGATGAAAATCTAGAATATATCAAGAAAGTTTTTGGACTCACAGCTCACGAAGAAACCTGCAATTGCTTATATTCTTAGGTATTTCACCATCAAGATTGAGATTGTGCAAATCTAAAACCTGCAGCAGCTCAATGCCCCCCAAATCTACTGGTATTGTACCACTTATGGAATTATTAGCCAAACTAATAGCCAAAAGCTTTGTCAAACCACTAAAACCAATTGGAATGCTTCCCCTGAGCCTATTAAACCCCAGGTCCAAAACCTTAAGCCCTCTACAACTTGAAATGCTCAACGGTACCTCACCATCCAAACTATTCCACGAAGCATCAATAAACTCCATTCCCTCACTACAGGTTCCAATCTCAGAAAGCTCCCCTTGAAATCCGTTGTGTGAGATATTGAAGTAAGTAATATTTTTTAATTGAATTACTCCTAATGGAGCCAATCCTGTAAACACATTTGTGCTAAGATCCAAATGTACAAACCTCTCGCACTTTGACACCTCCTCCTGCACGCTACCAGTTAACAAATTGCTTCTCAAAGATACATACTTCAATACCTCAATATCACAAATTCGAGAAGGCAATTCACCACTAAGATTATTGAATGAGAAATCAAATCCTTCAAGGTTAGTGCAATTCACAATTGACTCAGGAATTGAACCTGAAAGACTATTATGAGAAAAAGAAACAAACTTTGTCTTATAACAGTTCTTGAATAAAGCAAATGGAATCTCTCCACCATAACCATTTCTTGAAAAATCAAGAAACCTAATGCTAGGTAAATCACCAATGAAATCTGGTATGGAGCCAGATAGTGCATTTGAACTCACATTAATCTTCCGCAATGTCTGCAATTGGGCATATTCTTGTGGGATATTACCTGAAAATCGATTGCCAAACAATGTCAAGCCTCGAATGGAGCTTAAACCCGACAGCACCGGTGAAAGTACTCCGGCCAGGCTAGCGTTCCACAAAACGATCTTGTCCACAAAACCATCCGCATTACAAAACACGCCTCTGAAATCTACACAAGGGTTGCCAGTAGGGACCCAAGAACTCAATCTGTTGTAGGGATCATTAGTGATGTTTCCTTTGAACTGGAGCAAGATTTCCTTCTCCGTTGCTGCTAAAGAGACAATGGTGATTCTGATTCCAAGATAAGATGCAAGAATCAAGAAGAGAAGAGCATGAGGAACAAGAAACCGAGGGACCCTTCTCATGCTCGATACACAGCAAATGGATCTACCTGTATGGCATTTTGGGTCCTGGAACAGATTCCGGGTAGAACCTGCTACGGCATGCTTCCCCAATTGCTAATTCTGAAAGATCACGCTTTTGTGCAAAATCACACCTCAATCATGACCAAGTAGCCGCATTTCAGCTCTCCCAGAACCCAAACACATTGTGCCCCAAGAGAAACAAACACCCTTTTCAGCCAAACTTCTCTTCCTCCCTGGGTAGTCTGTGACTGCATCAATGAATCAAGACCCAGAAACTGAAATTCAGAACCGTTTGTTTGGTGGGTATGAACCAAAAGCTTGAATTTTTACGCTGGGAGAAAGATAAAGAGAGGGAAGAGGCAAGGAAGCATGGAGAAGTGCAACAAAAATGGTAAGAAATGGACGGTGTGTCCCAACCGTAAAGGAAGCTGGTGAAGCAATTAAATAATTACTAGAAAAGGTCTCTAATTGATGTTTATGTATGAATTAAGGTTGGTAGCAATGGAGGGAGGAACCACGTGCATGAGCATTGAGTCTCCGTATTATATGAAGAACACTGAAAAAAAAGAGCATAGAAGAAAGAAACCCCACTTTGTCTTGTTCGTTCACCACCATGTTTAGGTAGGCCATGTTCTTGTGCATTTATTCTCTCTCACCAACTCACACTACCACTACCAAGAATCATCATTCATCACCACCAAATTATTAGCAGAAACACCAAAAAAAGATGAAAGAAAATCAGAGAAAAGGAAGGAGACACATCGAAGAAGAAGGAGAAATGGGATTTTGGCCTTTTTGTTGGCTGAGTTGTGCTTTTCTGCTTTGCAGCATTTTGTTTCTTTGTATCCGTTTTGATTGTGACTTTTGAGAAGACATTGATTTCGTTGCTTAACTAGGAGTAGATGATAGGAGAAAGTGTTCATTAGCCGAATCCTTGGCGAAATTAGGGGAAAATTTTTTTTTAATTATATATTTTAAATAAATTTTTATTAAAAAGTTAAAATAATTTATTTTTAAAACAAAATTAAATTTATTTTATTTTTTTAAAAATAAATTCACAATGAACTGAAGCCATGAAAAAAAAGTAATACACTTATACTTATACGTAGTCTAATGTTACTGGATCCGACG